AAGTTTGAGGGAAAACTTTTTTCCGACCAGAAATGCAGTGGACCGCTTTTAGAGAGACTGCCACTTAATACTGAAATGTTCTTCAGTGCTAAGAAAATCCGTTTCTTGGTAGATTTTAGCTTCGTTTCTCTGCAATTTGGTTAAGGTTACCTTATACCTTCAGATCGGCAATTTTCTTCAAATTTGGAGTTTCGAGTCAAAGTAGTGGTTGAAGAGCTATCTCCAATTTCTGAAAAAATGTTTTGAAAAAGACTAAACATTGGCGAAGAAATGGCGGTTTTACGTTTTCGCCGGAAGCAAAAGTTTACCTCTTGATTGACAGCTCTATGACGTGTTTGCCGAGACGACTTGGATAGGGCTAGATAAATTATGCTCGAAAATTTGAGCATTACGCTTTTGAGCGTCACTCTTAAAATCATAGCATTAAGTTCGAAATATTAATTGTGCTCGTGCCCTAGCATTATGCTCAAAGATGCTGGGTTAATTTTGCGCAAAAAAAAAAGTGGGGGCTAATATTATTTGATGTCTCTCTATTAAATAACAGCAACGCCTTTGGAATAAGAATGCTCTCAGGGACGTGACTCCGAACTGGAAGAGCAAGCTTACAGGCCTGGGAAGCCAGGCAAAAAATTAAGGTAGTCAGGCCTTCAACAAAGCCAAATAAGTGCATAAAGAAGCCCCAAAACCCAGAATTGACAGGACATTTTTTAAACGCATTATTTTGATGGATTTATTAGCAAAATGATTTTATCAACTTTTATGCTCCTAAACATGACCATTATGCCGGCATTATGCTCGAAATTACACCGGCATAATTTAAAAAAATGGAGTCAAAAGAAAAGATAAGTTCTGTGAAAATTTGGGAAGTTCGCAGCGATAACAGCGATGCTGGCAGAGACTCTTCTGATGAGTCCGAAACCGACGAATTTGACTCATTGAGACCCATTAGAATATTCACAGTTGCTCCGCCGCGCTTTCTTTTGTTTGTTTTCTTCGACAAGCCGCTTTAGTTTGTTCTCTAGCGTTCGTATCCCTTTTTGCCAAAACAGCTTCAAGAAAAACCGAGCTACAGAAAAATTAACTCTCCGCCTTCGAATTGAGTGCCTTGCGAAACACAAGGGTTTTTAGAAATTTGCGGGAATTTGTTCGATTGCCCTCAAATTTGGACAGTAGCAAGTTTAACGTATAAACAAATATTTCGAAATATTTTTTCTCTGAGAGCAATTTTTGTACGATCACTCCACATTTAATCCTACTTCGAAAATGATCTATAGCTTTGTACTGCAATTGAAGATAGCAAAACGCAGCCCCTTTTTTAGCGTTTTGGGTCCTGAAAGGAAAAAGAAAAAAATTACATTGGCGAAAAAAAATTCGCTTTCACTTGTAATCAAAGGATTTTTCTTTTGTACCTTTTTGCAGTCTTTGAAAAATTTACTCGTGCTTATTTATTCCTTATTGCTGAATGCTGATTGGCTGAGACAGAGGGTATTTTTTCTTTATCACGAGCGCACTTTTGGTAATCAAGAGGGCGTCATGACTTGATGCTGATTGGCTGAGCGCACCTGCATTAAGTTGGTTTCACGCTTCAAACGGATTTTGAAAAGGAATTTCAGAAAGTATCTCTTCTGAGTTTGATCTAAACGCGATTATTTCATCTTAACATGAAAGAAAACCACAGAAAAGCGCAGTCTTTTGGTGAAAAAGCAAGGGATTTTTCCATCCAAAAATGTATTGATTTGCAACCTGATAAAACTGTGACGAGACGAGACGGCTAGTGTCGCACGAAGCATAGAGTTACAGAACTTCATTGCTGCTGTAGGGGCCCAGTAAAACGACGAACGCTCGGTAGAATTCGACATAGCAATTTAATTCGCCAGTATTACATCGAGACTTTTAATCCGAGTCTTCAAGCAACAGAAATCACACACGCACAAAAGCACTCACACCCACTCGCATATAATTTAAATATTCTAGAGTCTCTTGGGACGTCTGATTGCATGCCCATAGCGTGTCCTGTATTTGCCGGCTTCTACATCTTCCCCCTCCAATGACGAACAGTCATTAACCTCTCGGAGGCGTTTCGCCTCTTTGGCATTTCCTGGGCTCTTTCATCTCTTAACCTTAGCATTATGCAATGGGGCACATCTTCAGTCGAGAATTTAGTAAGCGCAGTTTCTGCACCGATCCGTTTATCATTCCTTTCTTGGTTTGAGCCCTTACTCTGCAAATTCGTCCATCTTTTCCGGGAAAAGTGTCCACAATTTTCCCAAGTTTCCATTTCCCTCTGGGTATGTCGTCCTCCGATATGAGTACGACACCGCTTTGTTTCAATGGTACCTCTTCCTTGGTCCACTGTTGGTGAACAGTTAAGCCCGGCAAATATTCACGTAACCAACGGAACCAAAAATGACTTTGAAGTCGCTGCTGGTACCTAAAGCGCTCCGAGAGAGAAACTTCTGCTTTCCTTGGTGGTGCATCAGGTGGACGTCCCAAATCTCTTCCAATGGCTGCTTTATGAAATGTGTTCTGGTTGTCTGAATGAATGACTTTTCCCATCCCACGTCGATAAGCAAAACGACGAAAGGCCTGCAGAAAATCTTCTGTCGTCATACTGTTCAACAATTCCAAATGAACTGCACCAAAATCTTCACCCATGAAAATACACACATAGGCCTTTGACGTAGTTGGCTTGGAACTTCTTTTTAGTTGGAGAGACTGTGGACCTGTAAAGTCCAGTCCGATGTTCGAGAATGATGGTGCTATCTGTACTCTTTCGACTGGGAACGGTGTCATTTTCTGTTGAACAGGCTGTGTCTACCAACGTTTAAACGTGAGACATTTTCTCAAAACTCGCTTTACCTCCCGTCGTCCTTTTGTGAGCCAGAAACGTTGATGGAGGAGAATGGCTAGAGTCGTCTCTGGACCTGCATGGCAAGCTTTGACACGAAGGTGCATAATCAATTTCTCTATAACTGGGTCGTCATGTGGTATTATGATTTGATGCTTGGCTTCTTCTGGAATCTGTGAAAACTGCAGACGTCCACCAACCACAACTAGCTTCTTGGCTTGGTCTAAATGTGGATCTAACTTAACGATGCGACTCTTCTGATTCACTTGTCCCTTGTTACGCAGTTCCTCAATTTCCAGGAGGAAAACAACTCTTTGTCTGTTTCTCAGCCACATAAATTCAGATTCCTTTAATTCCCCTGCAGACAGCTTTCCTTTCTTTGGTTCCCCACGTAAATTTGACCACTTTAGGATCCATGCAGTTACCCGAGCCAAGCGTTGCCAGGTTTCATATCTTCATGGCAATGCGGGAATGCTTTCTTGAGCCGTTGCTAGACAAACAATGTCATTCACGCTAACAGATTCGTTCTTTGCTTCAATAAGACAATCCTCTGGAACTGCTTTCAGCACTTCACTAACAGGCCTGTGACTGCGCGGCTGTTGTAACCAATGTGAGCCTTTCCACCAGAGCTTGCAGTCTCTGAGTTTAGACGCAGGAATTCCGCTTGTGTCCAGGTCTGCAGGATTTTGACTTCCTTGACAAAATTTCCACTGGCTTGGTGCTACTCGTTGGTGAATATCTCTAAATCT